AAAAGACATCGATATTGTGTCAAGTTGACTACCGGAAGTATAGCACAACACTCGTGACGCGCGCATGCGTCTCTGTTCGGATGACATCAGACTTTATCAAAGACCGATTTTTCGGAAGATTATGTTACTTTTGAGACGGTCTTGTCCATAGCGAATGCATATAGACATGTCCATGCAGTTGGACACAATCATTGTGGGGTACCTTTTGAAATTCACTGTACTACCCCATAGTGTCCATTCAGACAGAAATCCGAGAAAAACTTGTGGGGTTAACCCCACATGCTAGAAGTACCCCACAATGACTATTTGGACAGAAAAAGTACCCCACAATGTACCTCTCATAAGAGCGGACGGACGGCGGACGGACGACGGACGCCGCGCCACGGCATAAGCTCACTTGGCACTTCGTGCCAGGTGAGCTAACAAGTCACCCGACTTCGTTCGGGGTGACTTAATAAGTAAGAAACGGAACAATAACAACAAGTCCCCCCGACTTTGTTCGGGGTGACTTAATTATAAGAAACGGAGTAAAACAATAAGTCCCCAAACTTTGTTTGGGGGACTTAATAATATACAACACTTGATATAGCGCCCTATCTAGCTAACATAAGCCACTCTAAAGTGCTTTACAGTACATAGATATACAATTTTTAGGAATTGGCAGGAGCTGCCTTATCAGGCGCTAACTACTAGTCCTATGCCACCTGGCTAATATCCCCCCATGTGTGTATGCCTGCGTGTGTACTGGAGATGTATTGTGTTCTGTTTGTAGTGGGACCCTGCTTCCAACAGCATCTTTTGTAGTGCCACCTCACTTGAATGCTACATCAGAGATACCGCAACATCCACCCCAGACCATTTTATACTCCACCTGGGTTGTTGGAGTTGTGTGTTCTGTGACAACCATTATTTATATGCAATTATATACATACATTATACACTAACCTCTAACGTCCACTGTGGTCGTGTCTGTCTGTGGTGGTATTGTATTGTCAAAGTTGTTATTTCTCCCCTCACACGTCCATCTGTCCCCGTGACTGTAACTGTTGGCGGGAATCTGTATCCCCAGTGTCCTCGTGTCTCTGTTACAGGTAAATGTGTAGGGTGGTGTTGATGGACATGATGTCCCACTGTTTATATACGTTGTGCCTATTGCACCTCCACCATCATTCAGTCTATAGTTAACAACAGCATATTGTCCTGTGTAGTCAGCTGACCACTGACACGTGATACTGAGGTCCTGACCGGACACGACCTCAGCTGTAGGAGAGGGACTGACCACCACAGATAATCCAGTCACACCTGAAAAGATTGGAAAAAATGTGATTCACCTAAAACTTATTATTTTCTAAACTTTAAACAAGAGGCCCATGGGCCTAAACGGTCACCTGAGTCTACAGTATTTATTTTTGTTGTTGAAATATGTACCAATTTGAGTAAAAAATAGTATAATGTTAACTTAACTTTGTCAGGACCATGAGCTGATCATTCCTAGACCAATTTTAAGTGAGATCGGCCTATTAGAACTTAGTAGCAAAATAGCGGCCATGGCAGCCAAATTGTATTTCTGATTGACCCGAAAAATAACAACACTTTGTCAGGACCATGA